AGATCTCTCAAATGCAGGAAAGGGAACAGTAAGAGATTTAGGAAGAATGGCGAATTAGGGATTGGAAGTCTGGTTTACATTTCCTCATAGGGAAGTTAGACATCTCCATGACCAGACAGAGTTATTGTTTATTAGGCGTTTCTGGAGTGCTGTTGCTTACCACATGAATGGTTAAGAGCTATGAATGGAACCACTTGGAATCACCCCTGCCACAAGGAAGTAATAATGTCCTGTGCCCAACTACCAATATCATGACTCTTTCAGTCAGAAATTATCTCTGGAATTGTTTTCTATTTTTTTCCTACAAGGACTTGCAAAAGCTCTATTTTATAATAGAACCACATCTGAAGAAAGGCTAGAAACAAAACTGCTCTTACTCCTGCAAAATGAAGGGGATTCTGAGGAAGGGTCTGCCCTGTTGTGCATCAGAAAAGGAGAGTTATACAAACCAAACCACTCAGAGCAAAACCATGAACTAGCGTAGCAAGGTTTGTGTCACTCGTGAAGTGAAAGGAAGTGTAACAATGGACTTCCAAACATGTATGAACCACCTTCTCATTTAGGTAAAAATCTAAAATAAGAAAATAAGTTTTTCATCTCCTAATATTATACTTCAGCAAGCACTGAGGCAGAAACTAGTACCACAGAAAAGCATTTTGATCTGCTGACTTTTCAGCTTTCTCCAAACACAGGAATACTAAGAATTCCTGAACATGCTCCACCTGATCTCAATAGAAGAACAAGATGATACAACTATGATACAACACTTTTTCCCTCAGGACAACCACAGTAGTGAAACAGTTCAAAGCATTTCATGAGAACCCAAAATATATGCATTGTGCCTTATTTCACATTTTGCCTAGCAAATCTGAGTAACAGAAGTCAGTGGCCTAGAATAAACTGGAACTGAAACTAAATAACTGAGGTAAGATGAAGTGATCCGTATCTACTCGGAACACGTCAGTAAAACTAACAATTTTATTAAAGCAAACAAAACCACAGCCAACAATACCAAAACCTCTGAAACCACCTTTTCTCATTTTTGTCACAACTAGAGCATTAGTCTTCCAAGTGACAGAAATCAGCTGCACAGAAATCTGTTTACAGTATCTGTGTAGTTTCCAGAAATCATGACATAAGAAGTTTATAAGAAGTTTAAAATAAACTTAAATTGCCATATTGCCTTTTCCATCATCTGTACCAGTTTATGCGTGTTAACACATATGCTTTTCATCTGGGAATAAGAGGAAGTGCTCCAAAAAGCTGTCATTCACACATCTGCTTTGGACCTGTTTTATCCAGAGCTGACAAGACAAGCACGAATAGGCAAGAGTGAGACCTGAACCACAACTGCATCTCACCTGCCTTAGTTTTAATCTTTTTCTGCTCACATAAATCAGCTGGGAGTGTAGCAATTTTACATAAAGCAAGTTATCATCATATGCCTCAAGAAAGTAAGCATTAATACTATGTGCTTGCTGTCAGAACACCAAAGACCTGCAAGACCTGCACTGACCAACTTCCCATCTAAGTTTCCAGTGACAATGAAACAGGAACATAAATTTAACAAAATGTAGAAGCACAGTTGATAGAAGTAAGTGGGTGTTTGCAGGCAACACATTAAACAATTAAGCCTGAAAACACAATTAGTCAAAGAAATTTGTTGGCACTCGTATGTTTCAAAGGTGCAAATATGGTTTTCAAACTTTAAATAAAAATATAAACTAACTAATAATAGCATTTGCATCTATTTAAAATCAGATTTTATATGACCTGCAACAAATCTGCACCAAGCATTTGTTTTCTGATTACATTTGAAATATTTCTTACACATTTATTTCTGCAGTTATCTCTCTGCAATTACTAAAATATGGAATTCATTCTAAAAAGTAACTAGAAAGTGAAGAGAATTTTCATTTAAAACATTCTTCAGCAATTTATTTTTTGGGAGAGGAGAGGTGATCCTACTATCAAATGTCAGAATTCACAGATAAATGTGACAAAAATTTAGAAAGACAACAAGAAAAACACAAGACTTCATCTCTTACTGACTTTGTAATTTTAACAGTCACATCTTTATTCTTCATCTGTCACTGAACTTTCATTTGCAACTGTTTTGCATAAAAGCAATGTATCTTGTAACTGAACACTTCATAGATCAGTGCAATGTAGATCTGTCTAAGAAGATTCATGCAAATTAATGTATGTTGGAGTTCAAAAGCAAAACGTGAGGTGAAATGAATGAAGAAGGGTTGCAATGTATGATTAAGGGCAGAAACAAAGGTGAAAAAAGAAAGCAAAAGGAAGAAAAAATACAGGAAATGAGAATTACAAGCCAAGGAGCAGCTAAGCATGAACCACTTCAAATACTAGACTGCGTGAGTCTTCTGTAATGACTTTTCAATGTTGTGCATTTTTCCTCAAAAAGCTAGCCAAGCAGAAGGAATCTCCCAGTTTGAAAAGTGTGCTCTTCAAAGACTCTCTCTCAAATTCCACATCCTCTGCTGTGGTTTCTTCAATTCACAGTATGTCTACACCAACATTTAACAATATGGAATTACCTTCAGCTTTGGTTGTATGCCAAACAATCCACCCAAGCATCTACCTTGGCAGGTATGGAGGATAATTATTTTAATACTGAGCAGCTCTTTCATATGATTTGTGAAAACAAAAGCAAAAGCGTAAATTTTCTTTCAAATATCTGAGTTAATCCTTTTAAGTCCTGAATCAGAGGTTGTCATATCTCTCAACACTGCTCGACAAAGTGATTGGAAAAGGGGAACGAGCCTTCATCCTGTGGAGGTGACTTTTGTCAGCCATGAAGGATATCCCTTCAAGAAGGATTTGGTATGTTATCTGGACAAGTGGACCAGCATGGAGAAAATCAGTACCCAAGGGCATTAGTTGTGCTGGAGGTGAGCTATACTGCTAACCTAGACAATGAACAGTTACACCAAGATCTAGATGACATTAAGTGCTCACAACTAATGTGGCAGAAATGTGTACAGAGTGCACCATCACCACATGCCAACACACTGGCAGTACTGACCTGGAAAGACTGCAAAAAGCCAAAAACAGATGAAGTGGCCAGCCTACTCTGATGACATAAAGAAAATTTCTCTTCTTCCTATGGGCACATGTTTCAGCTGTGAAGAAACTGTCCCAGGAGTGCCGGCAATTCAGACATTATGTCCTATTCCTCACCTGTATGGACTACTGTCTCTGCTATTAGAAGTAAGCATTCTGCTCAGGGGAGGAAATATATACTCACCATGTGCCACTCTGTGGTTTTATCTTTGTGAACATGGAGAGGATATAAGTAAGAGGAATGGAAAATCTACTTTGACCCTAGAGGTATGGGTATATGAGTTGCAAGTAAAACAACTGAAAAAGGCTGGTCTTCCAGGAAAATGGCCACTCCAGTTTCCAGCAGGCAGTTTCCCAGACAGAGAAGATGGTCTGATCTCATTTTTGACTTTGATAATGAGCCTTAAAGTTTGCATTCACAAGAAATGAGTAACAAAATAACCAGAAGAAGAGCAGCCCTGCCTTCAGACAGGTGGAGAAAAGGGACAATTGGGTTTATCAGACTGGATTTGATGGTCTGACGTATCAGAACTGCAGAGCAAAAGGCCCAAGTGGATGCTAGTGTACAGCATATCTTAAGGCTATCAAGTTATAAAGGGGCAGAACTCATCTGTATCTCTGGAGTGACAGGCACATCCAGAAGCTAACTACTGAAAGGCCAAATTAGCCTCATTGGGAATGAGTGCATTTTTCTCAGTTCCTCTGGCAGCAGAGTAGAACCACACTACATACTACACACATGCAGTCATCACCGTGATTTTTTTCTCACTTTTCTTTCTTACTTTTCTGCCTTAAAAAATAGTTTTTATTTCAACCCATTAGTTCTATTTTATTTTTTCCCCCAGTTCTCTCCCCCATCCCACTTTAGGGAGAGTGAGCAAATGGCTATGGGGTGCTTAGCTGGGTTAAATCATGAGAGGAAAAAAAAGTTACTCCATTTTCACAAAAAAACAAATACAAGAAAGGAGCCTGAATTTAAAGGTCAAGGACCAAAGCACACATGGCAGATGATGTTGAGAAAAGAACTGAACTTTTTCTATTGTAACTATTATTACAAAATTTAACCAAAACAGAAGTGGTCAGAACATCACAATATACATGTAAATAGCAAACTACTGACAAGGCTGGGGAACAGATCTCTGAACAGAAAATCTCTGAACAAAAATGTTATCTGTTACATCATTTTACACAGCACCACACAGACACAGGCAAACATGCACATACCAAAATGTGGATGCTGGTATTCTGCATATGAACTTCTCTATTCAAACACAGCAATACAGTATATGCGTGATCTTTTTTTTTTTTGAATTTTGATATTATATAACGCCATGGGTCAATTCATCACACAAATAACAATGCTGTATATTGTAATGCCACCTGCTTTTCATAAAGGAACATTTCAGCAAGTAAAAGTGAAAAACAGAAAAAAAAAAATCCAACAACAAAAATCAACTCTAGGATAGTAAAACTCAAAATACTGAAGATTATTCGTAGCACACTGACAAAGCGCAGAAAATTTTATTATTAATGCTTTCTAGATCAACAAAACTGAAAAAAAATCTGGGAGTTATAAAACTATCATGAACCATCACACCACTACAGTCGTACATGACGCACCAAGGCATTATATAATAGCAAAATCGATTTGAAATTACGGAAAGTGATGTTAAAAATATGTTCTGGAAATAGCATGTGTGTAGTGGTGACACTGAGTTTGTATGATAAAAACAAAGCTCACATCCACATACAAACCCACAGATTTCAAGCACAGGCTAAGTAGCTATTGAAAACATTTTTTTAGTACATTCATGAGTATAATTCTGTTACAGACTGCTTCAAACTTCTCACCCCTTAACACTTATCAATTCCAATATAGTAGCTCTCACAACATTAAAATAATTAGGCAATCCTCGCAAAGCTGTCATGAAAATTTATTTGTCCAATTCATTTGTCATCTCTTACCACAGTATAAATGATAATGCAATAAGCTAACAGTTTGCTTAGTTTGTATTTTGCACAAACAAAATTTCACAGGGCTGCAATACTTATTTTGATAGTGTGCGGTTGCTTAATTGTGTGTAACTCAAACACCCTCAGCAGACATTTTACATATTGCATTTACCAGACCATTCCCCTTACTCTATTCAGTACTGCGCAATGTTTTCTACAGCATAACAAAACAAATATGGAAAAACTGAGGAATCTGTCTTAGTAATCACTATATGTTACATACTCTCTCATTTCTTTGTTGCAAAGATCAGACATCAGCTCTGCTATGCCCATCAATAAGAAACATAAATCAGGAAGCATAACTAAAACCCTCTTTGGTAGAAAGACTTTTTTAGTGGTTATCGTAATTCCAAAATAAAAACTATAAAGGACCATTTGATGTCATGCTTAAAGCATCTGTGTACCGCTGTGATTCCTTGTTTAATCAAACAGTTAAATGGTATATAATAAACACACACTTGCACACACATTTCTTTACTGGCTCTTACTCTCTTAAGGTGAAACATCTACCCTCTTTCCCCAAAGACCGCTGAAAGTTTCAAAACAATATCATATGGGATGGCCACTTTGAACAGCAACCATATTACTAATCATTAAATGTATTTTAATTATAGCATGTTTCAGTTTAATAAAACTTTTTATAGCTATTATTTGTTCACAGTGCAATGACACCAACAGTTTAACGTTTCAATAAAACTCTTGATTTTTTGGCCCAAACTGACAAATTGGAGCCTATAAAACACAACTACAAGTCCTTACTGAAAGCTTTTCTCAGCAGCTAGGAGTTGTTTTAAATAACACAGGTACAATCTCAAGGAAAGACCACCTCTGTAATAATGAATTTTAAAAATAATCTGAAAAATTCCCAAGAGGACATCATACAGCTGAACTGAATTGCTGTTGTAAGGAAAAAAAAATAATCTAGCTAATTCATTCTTGTATGACCTTTAAACTTCTAACATCTTAAGAATTTAGAGTTCAAATTAGTCTCAGGTAAAGGTTCCACCTTATAGATGAGAGCTAGCTGCATTTTAAATAGCAGAAACATCATCGTACGCTCAGAGACAAAAATCAAGTATCCCATTTTACATATATAATTACACGTTTATTTTCAGTGACCAAACTACGAAACGCATTTTCACCAGTAATGGTTCAACAACATAGAATTAATAGCTGCTAATACTTTTAAGCTGGTATGTCCCCTTTGTTCACTCTGTTCCCCAACAGACATTCACAAAGTTTGTTACACATTGCAAATAAAGGGAAAAAAAAAGTTATAGATGTACTTTAATAGCATTTTACCAGATACATTTCCAATAGTCACAGAAATACCTTCAACTGTAGAGAATCAAACAAATCAAGGTACGTCACAAACATTGGGAAATGGATTGGACACTGGTGGATTTTTCATTTGAAATCATGTTAGCTGAAAAGCTGAAATGCACAGATTAAATTTAAACTGAAAAAAGATGTACTCCACAAAAGGACAAAGTGCATCCAGAGCATGGAGCAGGGAAAAAAAGACTATCTGCCCAACTTGGTGATTTAATAAATATAACTCAAAAAGACTGATTCTGTGTTCACCATTTTTAACATACCCAACATCATTCAAGTCTACTCACTGTTATGTTGTATCACAAAATGTTAATAAGTCACTTTAATAGATTCCCACAGTATGCTGTGCTATATTATACATTATATAGAACATTTTTAATTCCTGTATCTATAATTGGGATTCATAATAAAATACTTTGAAACTATTATAAAGATTTGTTATATAATTATAAATCCTTTTGCCCCTAACAACAACATCTACTGTAATAAATTAAAAGTGCTTGTCACGTCTTCAGAAATACAATCCTATGACCTCAGGCACTGGAATGGCCTTTGGCAAAATTACTGGGACCAAGCTGCAACCTTTCTATTTCTGTGTAAACAGGAAAAAGTTGGAAGTTCAGAGACTACCACTAACACAGTAAGATGCCCCCTCTCCCTAAATCACTGCAGCCATTCCTTTTGGAGCAATAAGCAGAGGAAGGCTGAAAAGGGAGAAGCAGTAGCACAGCAAAACTATCCATCCAAGCTGCTTCCTGCTAACTCCTAACTATACTAACCCAGGCAGTATGTAATTATCAAAATCTTGCAGTTCAGGACTGTCTTCAAATATCTGACATTCTACACAACTGAGATCTACAGAGAGCTTTTCAGAGGTGTGGACACAGGAAAAGTGCATATAGTGAGGAATATTTACCTTTTACAATCTCCCACATTGCAGATCACAATATTTTAAAGCAGGCATGAATTACTTACACAACAACGAAAGAAAAAAACAACACGACACACTGTAAGATACTGCACTGACATAATAAAATAAAAAATGAAGGTACTACTTAACAGAAATTTCCAAACTTACAAAAAACCCACAAAGAACAGAAGTTCTACGTTCCCAGTACATGTACTGAAGCCTCACTATAAAAATGAGATGTAAAACTAAAATATTTATGAAATGTCACAGTCATTTCCCACTGTTTTCAGAATCAGCTTCAATGTGGAAAATGGAATTTAATCAATGACATAGCAGCTCTTGTTGAAAATACAAGCTTAGTTGACTTTGTTAAGGCTAAGTACAGTTTTTCTGCAACTGAAATGAAAAATGAATTTTATGAGAAATCTAATTAGAAAAGTCAAGAATGACAGATAATACATTTATTTCAATGTATATTTGCTACATTCTGTTTTTTTTTAACTGAAATGTAAATTATGATCCAATGGTGTCTTACAAATAATGATAAACATACGTAGTGGAAGGGAAAAAAAAACCTCATGCTGTGATTCTCTGCTGCCACTGCCACTGAGTAGCAATTCATGCCAATATTTTGAACAGATATTTCATGATCACAGTTCATAGTCTGCTCTATAATAAATGGGATTTATTTGATATTTTCTGAGAGGAAAAGGAAAGACTTCTTTCCCCACACTACTACACACATAGCCAAAGCTGAATTTACAGAAGCAGCCAAACACACATTCTGTTCGCCTGCTTCAGCTTTTCTAGAAACACATGCAGGAAGATCAATATAAAACTTTGGGTGGGAGGAAAAACAGGGAAGATTTTAAATTGTAGAAGGCTAGAAATGTACTCTATTAGTTATAACTAACTCTATTAATCTTTCCACTAATATTTAACACCATCTCCAGCTCTTTTAAAGCAATACTACTTCTAGCCCAAGCCAAGAGTGCACCTAGTAATACTGCAGTTAGTAACAGCTTAGAAGTACCAGGTTGAAAATGAAGACTTAGAACACAGCGGTGTCAATAAAATTAGAATTTAACAAATCAGAAATTAAAAATATCTAATTAGCAGTCAACAGATAAAAGTCAAATTCAAAGTTAAATTAAAAAAAAAAAAATCAGACATGCTCAGCTTTTTTTTTTTTCTTTTTTTTTTTTTTTTTTCCAGTTTAAATCACCAACTACATTTTTGTTGAGGAATCAAACTATTAACAATATGCAAATATGCTGTTACAGTAAATTACACAGATGCAGTTAGGACCAGAGCAGGATATGTGGCTGGTATGACCACATTATGCAGCAAGAATGAACAAAAAAGAATGAACTCCTGTCAGTGTTCTTTTGTATCCTTTGTTAAGTCTTGTAGACCAGAACAAGGAATTATCTGAGACAACAACAGGAAATGGGAGAGAAGGTGTAAAAAACCAAGACATATCCATTTTGGTGAAGATTTAGAGCGAGACTCTTCGAACAAGAAATGAAATTTGCCAGTTTACCTGAATTATGAATTCTATGAAGACAAAGTTTGGAAGTTTGCTATGCTAAAAAATCCTAGAATAAGATACTGCCACCTGTTTTTGTGTATTTTTTTTCCCTAATTTTTATATATGCCCCCTAGAAAGGCCTTTCTATTTGTTATTTCCATTTGATTTACTTTAGATTTGATAAAACGGTAATCCTGGATCTGTGATTTCCTATAGCCAAGAAAGCCGTAAGTTAATGCTATAACTAAGTCAATACAGGATTGTGTGGCAGAAGTAATTTTTATGTTAAAGATTATATCTCATTAACTTGTTTGATCTTTATAATATGAAAAGACTGACCATAAACAGTATATACGATACATACAGCGATTCTGAAATCTCTTCAATAATTAACACGACCGATGAGAAAACAGAACATTCTGGGTTAGTCTACACTAAGGAAAAGTGAAGTAGTAAATACAACTAACCTAACCCAGACTTGAGAATGCAATCAGCAGCAGCCACAATAAGAACTCCAAAGATCAGGCATCAAGTCACTTAGTCATAGAACCACCTGAGCTGGAAAGGACTTTTAAAGTTCACCTAGTCCAAATCCCCTGCAATGAACTGGGAATCTACAGCTGGATCAGGTTGCTCTGAACTCCTCCAGCCTGACCTTGAATGTTTCCAGAGGTAACACCTCAACTTTAAGTACATTTAAACAACAGATCAGCTCTCAATTCTACTGAGAACGTTTTCCTCATTTCATGAACATCTGCAGACACAGAAATTTTTGCACCATTTGTATCAGATAGTGTTTTTGGAGATGGGAGTGACTGAAATCTTAGTCAAAAACATGAAAGAGGAAAACGAAAGACCTGCAACAGAAATCTGTAGCTTGTGGATTAAATTAATTTAAAAGTATGTTAAAAAAAAAAAAATAATAATCCAAAAGCAAAAGCAAAACAATAAAAACAGGAAGCTGCACAGCATAATCTTTTGGCAAGACTGGTAACAAGACTGGAACAAAGAATGTGACAGTGATCAGGCAATTCCAGCTGTTTTCATGCATATGTATGTATTTGAACTGCAAGTGTCTGTTTCATTCAGCTTGTACTTTTCTCTGAGATCTTCAGCAATCAAGTATTTGTTTAGTAAGATGCTACAGTAGTGCCAAGAGTCACAGAGTGGTATAATAAATATACTCTTCACAAAATATAGAAGCCATGCACTTAGTGTAGAAAGCATAGCTCTTCAGCTAAGGGGAAATCAGTATCTCCCCATTTTTGTTTTATTTTTTAAAATTTAAATAGCTCAGCTCAGTCATTTAGAGTCCCAGTTGCTAATGAAAGTCACAGAAACTGCAAGACCTGCACTAAGTTTCTGTTCCATAGCTCACTTCAGGACTGTGAACAAGATACTTCTTGATGAACTACATCATAGGAAATTTCCTTAGTAAACCAACTGATAAAACAAATTTGATATATTTTTTTTTTCCATTCTAGTGATTTACTTGAAATCAGCTCTGTTACAAAAAGCATCAAGACGTTGGTTCTTGTTTTATCAAGTGCTTTATGAAAGTTAATTACAACAGCCTTGGAGAGGATTGGCAGTTGGGCTTACATTGGCTACGTTCTTGGGAAGGAAGAACTGCACGCTGGAAGAACTGCAGTCCAAAAGGATCAATAGGGCTTTTAGATTGGAGAGCAGTATGTCCCTCAGGGACTAAAGTCACAAGACTAGTGCCAGATGGCACGCTAGACTTCTAAGATTTATAAGATTTTGCTTTGTTTTACAACAACATGGTTTCTAGAAAAGGTGGAGACACCAGATAATGATTCATTTATGATTTGCAATCTTGCTATATAGGTAATTGATTGTGTTATTCTCCATTATATCTGACCAAGCTCTGTAGTGAACTTCTGCAGCTCCCCAGTAGTGTTGAATAGCAGACTCAGAGTGATGGCCTGCCAATGCCATAATTTTCTCCAGGCCCCAGTCCTGCTTCACACAGTAGCTGGATGGTGGTAGTTCGGAGAGAATGATTGGTATATCGCTGAGAAAGCCTGGCTGCCACACTTATCCTGGGCATCATTGCACCCAAGTAGTTCACACCCATTGGTTCTCTTTTGTACCATACAGGCTGTTCTTTCATTTGCTCTGCTGTTAGCTTTAAAGGATGCAGGTAAAAGGCCGGAGGCTCTGGAGGCAACTTAGATAAATAAAGCTCCAAGGAAAAAACAGGACAGTTTGGGTCCCCTGGCATATCATACATTTTACCCATTTTATGAGGATCTTCTTCATTTTTTCCTTTTCCAGGATACCTAAACATAGCGTAACGACGCCCGTTCTTGTCCTTCTCAACAACAAAAGCATCTGGAGCCAGATCTCTCAAAATTTCCCTCCCTCGTTTGGTAAAATGCAACTGCAAATCAAACCACACCTTGTTGACGAGTGCCACAGGACTGTGCAATCCCAGTACACCAGACAGTTTAATCTTACGCAAGTCGTCAGCTGCTATAGGAGGATGGTGGTGAGTCTCATCCTTTCCCTGGATGCGCAGCATCCTCAGCATACTCACAAATACCATATTTGCACTAGCAAACTCTTTGTCCTTCATTAAGCAAATCTGACGATTGTAAGGTGGCATTTTGAGATGCCGGTTTAAGCCAGCACGCATTGACTTGTAGCTTGCCACACTGTAGGTATTTCCATCATGATTCCTTATTTTGCAATAAAATTCTCTTAAAATATCATTGAGTTCACTTACTGGAACCAACTCAAAGCTAGGATCCTTGCCATTTTTGGCCAGCCATTGCTTTAATAGGTTAGCTGCCCAGCCAGTCTGCTTGTGGGTGTTTTTGATGCTCTTAGCATCCTCTTCCTCTTCCTCCAAGCCAAAGAGGACATCCTCAGGGAAGTTAACATTCATCTGTGCTGCTTCTACTGCTTCTTTATTTTCTGATGAAGTCTCTTCCTGTTTCAATTGCTTTTCGAAACAATTGATCAAAGTTGTACCATCAAATATGCCACAGGTATACGGCACACAGCGAACTACTTTTTGTTCTGAGAGCTGTGAAGTGCAGAGTAATACATAATATTTTGGATGTTACATAACAAAAAGCAGGTGGCATTAACTGGATTTTTCAAATGACATCGCATGTCAGTTTCATATCCTGATAGTCAATTAGAATGCATCTGGTCTTTTTTTAAATTAACCATGGCATTACACATGCTTTAACTGATTCAACTGAAAGTAAACCTAGAGACATACACTAAAAGACTGAAAACCGGAAAGCGTCTTGTATCTTGTTTCCTTCCAAATCCTTCCTTTTTGTTCACCTTCAATTGCTAAATACCACTCATGCACACAAACTTTTTTGCTAAAATCTTTTCCGGGTTTCAGACTCTACCAAAGATGAGAAATTCCAAAATACACATCTTATGCTGAAAATATATCTTAAAATCATAAATCTCAATTATTCTGGTACTGCTTTTCCTCCATATCAACTACTGACAGATTGGTACAGCTATAATCCACAGGTATTTTTTAAAAATGATAACCATTCTTTATGAAATGCTTTAATAAAAAGATAGAGTAAGGCATGGATTATAATCTGTAACACTGGTCATCTTTACTAGACTATTTATACAGGAAATGAAAAACAGAATCTTGTCCAGTATACTTTCTTCTTGCTTTGAAACACAATTCAGATTTTTATCTGCACCTTGAAAAACCATTAAATGTGGAAATTTTGGGTAGAAAAAATTAATTTTATTCCCCTTAGTAAAATGACTTCCAGTTAACAGAAATGTACATGTGAAGTGCTTTGTGTAATATCTGTACACAGAATCGTCATTACAAATCATTTCAAATACCTTAAATTATCCTTAAAATTGCAAAGTCCAACAAATTTTAGAAGAATCCAGAAGTACTGTAAGTTCTCCTTTGTTATGAAGTAGCTATTTCTGAAGGAAGTTTCTTTTTTTTTTCTCAATAACTTTTGGATTAGTGTAAAAATGAGAGCTGCAATAGTTTGCAAAATACTTTTAGCTTCAAGTTTAAGACCTTTAGGCAAAAATTAAGTAGAGTTTTCTTTCATATGTTGGCTCTGTTGCATCAGACATGTTTTTAGTGTTCTCCAGGATTACTAACTCACCTACTTATGGAAAACACACTGGAAAACTTCTGAAGAGATTATGAGGAGCTCATGCTCCCAGTAATACTCCAGATCAGAAGAAGAAAAATACAAATAGACACAAACTAGAAAGAACGGGGGGAAAAAATACCAACAACGAAGAAACACACAAACCAGAAAAAAAACCACAACAAAAAAAAAAACACCCACAGCCTAAAGTTGCTTCATTATGAGCAATGAAGGTAAAGAACTTATCTCCTGTGGATTGTAACTTCAGAAGTTTCAACAAAAATATAATCAACAACCTACCTGTGTTGTTCCCTCAGCTGTTCTCTTGTTCGCTGAAGAATCTGCTGGTGGCCTGCTTGTCTGGTTTTCTGAAGGGTCAAGAAATTGGTTCATTTGCAGTATCTAATCAATACTAAACTAAATACAGCTAGTCCACTCTACAAATTTAAAGGCAACATTTGAAGTTGTTTGATACTAAATGCTCCTTATTTTTCAAGTGCAAATATCCAAGCTTGATTACTATCATTTTTCAGAGGAAACAGGAAGAAAAAGCAAAATGGCACTTTTCAGTCTAGAAGTAGTATTCATTCCCTTCCTTGAATGTCTGACCATGTATTCCAAATATTTTATGGGTAATTCCCCTCAGTTGTCTGAGGAGAAAACATAATTCCAATCTCTCCTGCCCCTATATGTTAACAGACAAGATATAAAGCAGAAAAAAAAAAAGTTGTTCAACACATTCACATGAAAATTGACTATGTATGGTTAGAATGGAAAATACGTACATGAGGCAAGTAGAGCAGGGACAGAATTCTTAATTCTCAATTCTTAATGCTCAACTGAACACATACCTACTTAAGCAGAAGTTGCTTGAATATTTGATGTAAACATTTAAATCAAAATTCTTCCTTCATACTCCCTTACATTTTAACCAGAGCTTAGCAGCAACTGTGCTTGCCCAAAGCAGTGTTTCAATTCTGGTGAGAAAACCACTTGGTATACACAAATGCAATGTGAACTGTAGAAAACAATACATATTTCTGGGCACAGAGACCTTTCACAGCTCTTTGTATTATATCACTATACTAGCCTTCGAAATAAACAATAATGCAAAGCGTGTAATTGTCACTTTCATGGAAAATATATTTGCCATACGCATCTTAGAAATGAGAAATTAAATAAAATTATTTGTGATGTTGAGCCCTACTTGAATTAATCCTAACATTATACTGTGCCAATTAGAAACTCTTAGCTATGATTTCAACTCACTCAATACCACTAAGAAAATCTTGACCGCAAAAAAAATTTCAAATAAAAATTTCAACATATCTAGTATCAGAAGTGCAGAGAACTGTCATGACATGGCAGAAGATGGAGAGAAAGCATTTTAAAATATGTCAGCTAAATAGCATATCTGAATTCTTCCTGTGCTTTAAGAGCCTTTAAATCTAATTCTTTGGAATTAGATTAATATTATGTTGTGGTTTTTTTTTCTCCCATTTTTTTAAGTGTTTTGAAAATTGAGTCAATTAACATTTTTCTGTTCTTTGGAAAGGTAATCAGATTATTCCAGAAGTTACATTATACGAAAATGTTAATATTAGGACAGAAGCATCTGATTTCACGCTAGGAATAATATAAATCAAGTTCTAAATAAAACAAAGCTTAAAGAGTCAAACTATTAACTCCTAATGAGATATGATTTTCAACAATGGCTAAAACATTTGTGACAGATGATCCTGATCCTGTTAATTTCAACAGTAAGGCCACCCAGAAGATACATTTCAGTAAAAACAAAACTTCCACAGGACTAGAATTTAATGTTTTCTTTTGACAATGGTTTTCTCCTCTTTTCCTAGTGTCAACATTCAAGCATGACTTACCAACTCTGGGTGCTGCAACGGTAGATGGTTCGGCAGGAGCGGTACTATTAAATGCGGAGAGGGGAATCTTCATATGTATGGGACCTCGATTGCTGGTAGAATTATGAAGTCCTGAAGTACCCACTGTGGGCAAAGAAGTCCTTGTGGTTTGTGCAACAGGATGTGTAGTTGAAACTGCTTGTACAGCTAATGTTGTCCGTACAGACCCAGCACTGGCTGGAGAGTTTCTCTGAACACTAGGACTGGACACAGACAGGCTGTTATTTGGTTTAGTTGTGTTAGTAGATGCCAAAGATACTGCATTTTTGGTAAGGCTACCAACTGTAGAGGAGCTCTGTACAGATATAAATTCAACGCTGCCTGACTGCTGGTTAGTGACCAAAGTTCCTGCGTGGCCTTGAAGGAGCTGAGGCTGGGATGATACTGCAACAGGCACGTGCAAGATTACAGGCAAAGACTGCAATGAAACAGACACTGGCTGAGTGCTGCCACTGGGCACTTGGCTTGTGCCTACAACTGTAGCTGTGTTAGCCGTCGAAATAACTGCTGTTGTCAAAGGGCTAGAGGTCACTGGAGTCTGAGGCTTAGGATGTCCACTGGCAGGTGTCTGAGGAGCAGCAAGACTTGAAGCTGGTGCTACACACAAAACACAAAAACAGAATTTGAACCAAGAGGGTAGATCCACTCCAACACAACAAATGAAAAAATGGTTACTTTTATTTTCAAAGAAAGGCTATGTGTGCTCTTTTTTCTGCTGTACACTGTGAAATTCAGTGGTCTAGTTTAAGATAGTGTATACCGTATTTCTATTTGAAAGAACTAAATACAAATGACAAAATTTACAAACAATTGAGACGCAGAGGCTTGAGGAACTGAGATTCAAACGATTAAAATACATGAAGTACAGCACTTTAAACACTTGCTACAGAAACAGTAGAACAACTGGTCCTTTACAAAACACAAGAAGACAAAAACGAAATCAACTTGACTAAGTTACTTTGTATGGGCAGGACATTGTATCTAGAAGATGCTACTGAAATAAGGATTAATGTGCCAAAGAAAGTATTTGCTTTTATGCAACAATATTTTGGGATTAAATCTAAAGATCAGGAGCACAATATACTAAATATAGCCATTACATTCCTATTATGTGCTGGTTCTGAAAAAAAAAAAAAAAAAAGGATAAATAAATCAGTTTTAAGTAAACAGAATTTTAAAACTGAAGATGGTGTGAGAATGGTGAGATGGTGAAGAATATAATTAATTGTGGTTTTGATTCTAAATTCCTTATAAAATTCCAGTATTGGAATTCCACTTGTCAGTGATTCCTTTAAGAAATGAGGCTTATGACTTCCCTTAATTCCTCACTCAATTTTTATAGCCACTAGTTAGAGAGCACAATAATCAGCATCCTACTACAATCAAGTGCAAAAAAATGGCCGTGAGCCATGCGCTTCACTTCTCAGCAGTGAAGAAACTTCAGCAGTGGAGAAACTTCATATTTTTCTGCCTCACCCAGGCAAGCAGTCTGCTGTAGCATTTAATTTGCCCAGATGTTCTAGCTGGCCATGTCAATGTATTTTTCGCCTTGCCTAGTAAGCACATTATACAAACATAAATGCCATCCCGAAGAAAGCAACAAAGATGATAAAAAGGCTGGAAGGAATGAGCTATGAGGAGAGGCTGAGGACACTTTGGACTCTAGACTGGAGAAAAGAAGACTAAAAGGTGATCTCATTGCTCTCAAAGACTTCCTGAGATGAAAAAGTGAAGAGGAAGGTGCTGGTCTCTTCTTCATGGTAACTGAGGACAGGATGTATAGCAGTGGTGTAAAGCTGTATGAGGAGCTTCAGGCTACAAACAAGGAAAAATGTCTTCATTGCAAAGGTGGTCAAACACTGGAAGAGTCTACCTGCAGAGGTGGCTGATGTCCCTTGCCTGTCAGTGTTAAACATTTCAACAACATCCTAAATAATATGCTTTAATTTTTGGTTAGCTCTCAAGAGGTCAGGCAGTTGGCCTAGATGATTTTCGAAGGTCCTTTCTAACTCAATGATTCCATTCGATTCTAAACTGGGAATGTGGTAGGCAGCCAAGAGTAATGATGTCAGGAATAAAGAATTTCTACAAAACAGTTTTGGTCTGTTTAGTTACCTAATTAATGGAAAGCAATCAAACTTTCATGAAGTTAATTTATAAAGGCCATAGGCGGTTTCTCACCTGCATTCACAGGGGCTTGAAGAGTTGCTGGTTTACTATCTCCTACATTCCTCTTTGATTCCAGCATCTGCCTCACCGTGGTAATATTTCTATAGAAAGAAGATTGTTAGCATTTCTCAACAGGTATAGTGATGATGGGGAAACAAGGCTATATTGCAAGGCTATTAGTTTCATTAATTTTATAATCTGATTTATCTTCTGCCTCCACAAGCAAATTAACACTGTATATTCCTCTACTAAAAAGCAAAACCAAAGAAACAAAAAAAAACCCTTAGAGAATTACTTATTTACAAATTTTCAAGCTTTTGCACTGAGCTTGCCTTTTGTCAAGTGAATTTTCTCATTAGACTTCTATCATCTTTAACTGTTAACACATCGTTTAACCTAGGAATTAATTCAATACTGTCCATTTGTGAATTCTGTGAATAAAAATTGAATTTTACAGTTGAATAGCAATGAAGGAAGAACACTTTAATTAAAAAAACAAACAATCAAATTCATTACGTGAGGTCCTACTCCGAATTTTAACATGACTGTAGTGATGTGCTTTGCTTACCGGTATGTCAGATTGTTTGCATTCGCAGTGCTACTTGCTGCTTTTCCTGAGGACAGAGATGGGTTTGGTGTATTCTAAAAAAGAAACAAAAATGTAAAGAAAAACAAAACAACTACATCAGCTTGTGGATTAACTGTAATCCATACAGATTCCTTTCTACACTACTTTCTACTATTTGGTCCTACCTGCCTCACTCCTACACACTTTCTCCAAGCCTCTTGTCTTCAGGATTTTATAGCATAAGAATCAATATTTCTTTTTGAACTGTTACGAATTTTTAGCTCCCACTTCGTCACAGTAACTAACCCAAAATACTTATTCTAGACAGATTTGCATTCATTCCTCTATTCCCTTTCCTCCCTCCCTAAAAGCAGATATTCATCCTGTACTCTTCATACTGAAGTAAATTACTTTTTCTTACATATAATTTAAGGTGCTTCCACACTAACAATGTATAAAAGACCTTCTGTGCAAATGAGACCCACTGAATAGATGTTGAAGACTCTATTCCTAAGAATGGCTCACTTTTAGTCAAATAAGACAAATCTACTTTGTGAATACCACTGAAATAAGTCACATATACCTGCATACAAAATTTCCTCAATACAAGGCTTAGATTAGCTCACAAATACAAATACTGCAAACACAGTTCTTACTTCCTGTTTTTTCTTCATATCCTCCTTGGCAGCTCCAAACCGTTTTGTCAATCGAGAGATTTTAGCCTAAATGGAAAGAAGAGAAAAGCCAGTAAACAAAACCACAAACACAAGAACCATTAAGAAATTACACAAACCAAACGTTTATACAGCCCAGAAGGCCAACTGTGTTCTGGGCTGCATTAAAGAAGGGGTGGCCAGGAGGTGGTTGTCCCCCTCTACTCGGCTCTTGTGAGGCCCCATGTGTAGTACTGTGTCCAGGCCTGGGGCTCCCAGTACAGGAAGGACATGGAGCTCTTGAAGCGGGTCCAGAGGAGGGCACTAAGATGATCAGAGGGCTGGAGCACCTCTCCTATGAGAAAAGGTTGAGGGAACTGGGATTGTTTAGCTTGGAGAAGAGAAGGCTCCAGGGAGACCTCATTGTGATCTTCCAGTATTTGAAGGGAGCTTATAAACAGGAAGGGGAATGCCTGTTTACGAAGGTGGAGAGTGATAAGACAAGGGGAAATGGTCTTAAACTGAGACAGGGGAGATTTAGGTTAGATATGAGGAGAAGTTTTTCACACAGAGGGTGGTGACGCACTGGAACAGGTTGCCCAACGAGGTTGTGGATGCCCTATCCCTGGAGGCATTCAAGGCCAGGCTGGATGTGGCTCTGGACAGCCTGGTCTGCTGGCTGGCGACCCTGCACATAGCAGGGGGTTTGAAACTAGATGATCATTGTGATCCCAGGCCATTCTATGATTCTATTCTTTCCATGAAAGACAGTACTACTATATGACTTTGGAGCAGCAGAAAGACACCAGTGTGTATCACAATCCTACGTTATGCATGACTTTTCACTGCTATTCATAACTGCACAAAGATAATGTACTTATTCACTTTTTTTTTTTCTCCTCTCATCCCCCTGTGGAATCAAACTGCCTTCCCAAACAGCAGCAACAAGAAACTTATTACTAAATGCTGAGGAACTTACTAAATTTGACACTTGTGTGCAATTCAATACACACTCACCTGTAGTTCAGTAAGCACGGTTTTATGCCTCTTGTTACATTCTACTTTCTCTATTCGCATTTTCAAGTCTGCCAGAGTCTTGTCAAATACAGCACACTGTAAAGCAGCAAGTTTTTCTTCTAACACTCTCTGGATAACCTGCCAAATTAGGATGGGAAAAAAAGGAAAAGAAAATTAATCCTAAAACTTGGGAGACTGTCCATAAAAATATTGTCAACTCAAAAAGAATTTTGCCACGAATGACACTGGTTGTGCCTTGTCAATCAATTAAATTCATCATAATCAATAATAAGAATGTGGTTACATTGCTAAACAACGTGTTTAAGTCTGTTTTGACAAATATATATATCCCTTTCTACCATTAACTCAATACATTAATTTCACTGCAGTATGATAAACATATACAGATTTATAATTGATAAAAAGAATCTTAACAGAAGACATTTTTGTACCACTGTGTTTACACATGTTAAATTTTTCCCTTCTTTTCTTCTCTTTATAGTGACATTGGCATTTGAAGAACAGAAACTAAAAGTGTTTAATGAAACTTCAGTTTTTGATACAGTTTCCCCTAAGCAGAAATGCCCTGTGCTGCTTTAGCTGCAGAAGATAAAAATGGCAAAAGAAGAGACTAATTTCTGCAAAGTCTACTTACTACATTTATCTTTTCCCCTTCTGCTCTGAAATCTTTACTATTGCAAAGTAAAAATCTCCATAAGAAAAAGAAATAAACAAGCAATAGAAGTGGTTGTCTGGATCCTACACTGAAGTTACAATATGCACCACCATAGCTCTACAAAAATCTGCAAAACACTATGTTTGATAACTCATTATTATGAGAGACTTTCTTTAAAGCTGGGTACAAAAAGCAAAGCACACGTAAACATTTATCATACTAAAATGCCACCTTCACTGAGATTCTTTTATTCTCCATCTACAGTCACATTTCACTTAAGAATTTAAATGCTTAACACATTTCAAATATAATTCTTGTGACATGCTTTCCAAATGGCATTTAGTCTAAGTAAGGCTACCTAGGACTTTATAAATTGAACCTCTGTTGTTATTTTAATTATGTAAGATTTTAAACCAAAAAATGAGAGAAAGCTTGTGTGTACGTGACTAGAGAGTGCGTGGGAAAAGACAGGTAAAGTGGTAAGAGAAAATAAAGACATGAGATATGGTTTTGCCATCTTCATTCTTCACTTCCACTCTACCTTTTCTAACTTTTGGTCAACATCTCTTCTGGCTGTAATTTTCACTTGGAATTCTGCTTCATAATCTTCCTCTCCAACATATCGACGCCGTTTAGAATGCACACTGTCCATGTCCTCAGATTTTGAACGCTTTCTTCTTGATACTTCACCTGAAACAATTAGATACAACTGCTGATGACGAATCTTAAAAACAAACAAACAGAAACCAAATGAAAGCAAAATAAGAACAACCAGAAGAACAACCCCCAAACAGATACTTGCAGAATTGCACGAATATTATGAAGTTTCATTTTTTATCCACTTAAGCATTTTTCATTCTAGAACAGTAAGAATGCCTTCAGAAAAACAATGTATTTGACAACATCAAAAGAGAACAAGGCCCTTTCTCTCCATACATTGCTGCCAAGAGTTCCACTTTGTGATTCACCAAACCACTACCTCAAATGCAAGATCACACAGCCATTCCCCTCTTGCATGCCTCCATTTCTTCCTCTTCCTACCAGCACCATCCTGAAATGTAACATGGCTTCTCAGAAGCAAAATAAAAAACCTCTTTCTGAAAAAAGTATTTTTTTCTCAGTAACCTATTAGCCAATTAAAACTTCTACTTCACTCTGCCTGTGTTAGCAGAGTTCTTTCCTATCTGTTATGAATTCTTAACCTGTACCTCCAACCTCTGAATAAGAGAGCAATCGGATCTTTTTCTTACTATTTGAGCAAGAAGGAAAGTAAAAACCTGATGAAAGAAGAGGCTCAAAACAGAACTACATTATGAAGGTTATTTTCATTACAGTGATGAAGCACAGAAGAGCAAAAAGAGACCTCATTCATTCCTCCTGCTCCTGGCACCATATGCTCTAGTGATGTGGATACAGAATGATGTGCCTACTAAAGGGAAGTAAAGAAAGTTATAGACCATTCTGTGTGTGTTTGTCCATCCAAACATCAAAGACCATGAGTTTCACATTTGAGGATGAGTCAGAAAGATAGGATTAGTAGATAATGGAGAATACAATACATTTCTTTACAAGGAGAGTAGTTAGGCCCTGGAACGGGCTGCCCAGGGAGGTTGTGGATGCCCCGTCCTTGGACGTGTTCAAGGCCAGGTTGGACGGGGTCCTGGGCAACCTGGTCTGAATGTGTACGTTTGGTGGCCCTGCTAGGCAGGGGGGTTGGAACTACATGATCCTTGAGGTCCCTTCCAACCCGGGTGATTCAGTGAGAATGAAAAAGCACAACAAATAGTGACTTTCCATTTTTCTTTAATTAAATTACACACACTGTGCAAGTCATATTTTTAACTTCAGAGATTATTTTCTAATTTTCTGATGGTCAAATTTCTGATGGTTTTCCATGTTGAGAGCTGCACTAAAAAGACTCTAGTGTACTAAAAATATTAAAAGGCAATTTTAAAACTCTGTGTGACAACCTTTATCTAAAAAAAAAAAATGAGAGCATAGGTATTCACATTTTAGGTGAATACAACAGGACTACAGGACTCCATATAAACACTGCAGAATGCTGAATATCTGTGAACAGTTTAAATGTCTAAGGTGTAATTTTTTGTTTTTATTTTTTCAGAATGACAGTAAGCAGTGACGAATAAAAACAGCTACAGCTCAAGCTTTCTTCCATCCATCAGAAAAGCCTGCAGAAAGTGAATAAATTTTAAACTGTAAAGTTAGAAAACTATCCACAGACTACTGGAGACAAGTTTACTAGGATTTTCTGTACACTGTTTGCCTACTCCCAGCCAGTCATTTGAGAAGAAATCAAACCATTCACAAATGAAACAATTAGCTTCTAACATACAAGAAGTACTTATTTATTTATCAAAACATGTTCAATAATTTGTTCTGAAGCAGAGGCTACATTAAATCATACTGCAGCTTGATTCCTTTGAAGAACTTGAGGGTGCTTGCTGCTGATGGAAAGGATAGCAATGGGAAGTTGTGACTCCTGGAAACAATAACAGCTTTGAGTTGCATCAGTTGCTCCTGATTGAAGGGTGTTTTGCACTTATGTTCTAGTTAACACTTTATGCACACTGAAACATCCTTTCAGCATGTACTGGCGAGAAGCCTAAATAATGGCTGGGCCTAAAGCACAGCTCCCAGAGCATGGCTAACAACAGCTGAGAAACTTTGCAAAGTAGGGTGCACAGAAGGTGGTCATGGTCACCATGCTCAGCAACGGTGATGACCTACCATGTGACATCATCTCCACTAGGACAGTTCCCCTTGTCATGTCCAAGCCCCCACGCAAACAGAGCTCTCCTGGGTGAGGATATGGCTTCGCAAATCTCAAGCTGCCCGGACCTCTAGGGTGTCTCTTTCTGTATGAAGCCTTGGCTGAGAGAGATGAACTTCTTGCCTACAGGAGGTATAAACTAGTGGGGCAGTCACGTTACCAAGCAAAGAAGCTACAGAAGGAGGTCAGGAGATGAAATAACATCAGAGATAATTAAACAGAGAGTGACCGGATGAACTGTAAGATCCTTCAGCTTCAAGAACCAGAACCTCCAGCTACACCAGAGGACACAGCCAGAGCTTGTCCTGTTGCAAAGTGGAAATTCCAACAATGACAAAAGTAGGAAGCACCAGGACAGTGGCTCCCAATATGCCTGCAGGTGCACAGGATAACTAAAGATTTGGATCTTATCATTTCAGATTGCTGAAAGTTCTGCCCAGGGAAATGCCTGAACTGTCTGAGCCTGAGCCATTCAGCAGCACGATGCAGAAGTCAAGAGCAGTAACTGTGGATGATTCCCTACCTGCAGGGAACAGAGATTCCCATCTGCAATGGACAGAATGACCTCATAAAAATCTAAAAACAGGAAGAAAGTTAAAGGCCACCTTCAGCTCAATCTAGTGAGGAACATGAACAGTAAGCACTAAGGGCTTTCTACCAGTATATTAGCAGCATAAGGTTAACTAGGAAAAATATGCCCCCTGCTGCTGACAGGGTAGCAAATGATACAGTAGAAAAAACCTCAGATGCCCATTTTGGCTCAGACCCTAATGAGAAACCTTTCCTTCAGCTATCCTTGACACCTCAGTGATTCTGTGTTTCTAATATGTATCATCAGTGCAGAGTAGTGTTGATATTACATACCTCTGTCTGTGAGTTTTTCTTCATCTTTGTGGACCACTTCTCTTTCTTTGTCCTTTTCCTCACTTTTTCCCACCTCTTCTACAAACACAAGAAAAAAAATGTGTTACTTGCATTGACTTACAGAATGTTACACACAGAATCCTCTTTTGATTTGTGAGCTTAGGATGCTTACAAAATGGAAGAGAAAGAAACATGAGAGAGGGAGAAGTATGCAGAGATGAAAAAAACCGAAGATAGTTTCAGAGCAAAACTACTGTACAACAGAGATCCACTTCTGGATTTGCTCAGCTTTAAAACCAACACAATGCCTGAAAGTTACATCTGAAAGCTAGACTTAGGAAAAAAACTTAAAAATTCAGTAGGAAATTATTAACATGTTTATTTACCTTTGGCAAATTCAACCACAGTATTTATGGTAGGATAAAGTTAAGATCCTTTTTTCTTAAGAAGTATTGATAGTAATTTAATGTTTGTTACTAGAAGAAAGCATCCTAATTTAAATCCAATTATCTACCTTACTCAAGTCAAGGGGCTTAGAACTAGAGGGTCTTCAATGTCCCTTGAAGTCCCTTCCAGCATTCACTTAAAACCTACATTGCAGAAAGTTCATTAAACAATGAACAAACAAAAAAATTAACCACATCTCAAATCCACACAGCTTACAAGGAAGTACTTTCTAAAAGCTGCACAAAGGGAGAAATTTCCATCAACTTTTACTGCATGTTCCATGACTTCTTCTAGCATATCATACAGGCTGTATTGCTGCCTTCTTTGCTTGCTACATGCAACATAAAACTATTAAATTACATTGCCTATTAGCATTACATTAAAACAGATCCAGAATATAACAAAACAAGTCAACTCTGTTATACAACACTTGATTGCTACACTTCTTCAATTTCTATTTTCATTCAGTTATTACATCACAGCTTATGTAGGCTTTTTTAGAGGAAGTTGTGGCTGCAAAGATAATACTGATAGTCTCTTACCACTAAATTCTACTTGTACTGTGAACACTCTTTGGATGATTTTAAATGAAGTTACATAATAAATCAGCAAAAGGAATCAGAAACCCACAAATGGAAATTATGAGGGTTTTTCTTTCCACGTTATTAATCTATGTAAGAAATAATAATGATTCAAACCACAATATTTTCTCAAAACCAATCTGATTTACTTTCAAGGTAACAAAGTGTCACAGCAGCTACATCACTCACTTTTTACAGATAAATTCCATGCACACAATTGTTACCCGTGAGACAAGACTCATTCACAAAAGAATCTGAAGGAGACTCTCAAAGTTCAAGAGTACTTTATCAATAAGCTGCAGATCTTGAATGTTCAACCAAAAAAACCCAGATATTTCATTGAAAGATTCACATATCCAGGACATTTTTAGCAGCGTCCTAGTTTCAAAGCTGAAGGGTTATTTATTTTTTTTTCATATGTGTGGATTTTGATTGTCCATGTGTGTAGAGATAGGACTAAGAAAGCCGAGGCACAGATGGAGCTGAACTTGGCAAGGGATGTGAAAGATAACAAGAAGGGGTTCTACAGGTACACAGGCAGGAAGAGACAGGCCAAGGAGAGTGTCCCTCCTCTGATGAAAGGTAATGGGGAGCTGGCTTCCTCAGACATAGAAAAAGCCAAGGTTCTCAGTGAGTGCTTTGCCTCAGTCTTCACAAGTGGTCAGTCTTCATGTGTCTGCCAGGACCGTGAGCCTCTAAGTGAGGGTGTGGGGAGTGGTTTCTGTCCCACTGTAACAGTGGAACAAGTCCGGGTCCTCCTCATGAAATTGAACACGTGTAAGTCCATTGGGCGAGATGACATCCATCTTAGGGTTCCGAAAGAGATGGCTGATGTGGTTGCCAAGCCGCTCTCCATCATATTTGAAAAATCATGGCTGTCTGGTGAAGTCCCTGATGACTGGAAAAAGGGAAACGTTACTCCCATTTTTAAGAAAGGGAGAAATGAAGACCCAGGGGACTACAGGCTGGTGAACCTCACTTCAGTGCCTGCAAAGACCATGGAGCAGATCCTCCTAGAAGCTATGTTAAGGCACATATGAGATAAAGAAGCGATTCGAGACAGACAGCTTGGCTTCACCAGGGGCAGATCGTGCCTGACCAATCCGGTGGCCTTCTATGATGGAGTGATGGTTTTGGTGGATGGGGGAAGGGTAGTGGATGTCATCTACCTGGACTTCTGCAAGGCCTTTGTCAGGGTCCCTCACCACATCCTCCTCTCTAAATTGGAAAGGTGTGGATTTGAAGGAAGGACTGTTTGACGGATTAGGAACTGGCTGGCTGGACACAGCCAAAGGGTTGTATCAGTGGTTCTGTATCAGGTGGAGGCTGGCCACAAACGCTGTCCCTCAGGGGTCAGTCTTGGGACCGATGCTCTTCAACATCTTCATCAACAACACAGACAATGGTGTCAAGTGCACCTTCAGCAAGTTTGCAAAAGACACCAAGTCCAGCAGTGCAGTCAATACACTGGGAGGAAGGAAAGCCATCCAGAGGAACCTGGATAGGCTGGAGAAGTGGGCTCATGAAAACCTAATGAGGTGCAATAAGGCCAAGTGGAGGGTGATGCAGGTTGGGACAATCCCAGGTATTTATACAAACTGGGGGAAGATCTCCTCAAGAGCAGTCCTGCAGAGAAGGACTTGGATGTCCTGGTAGATGAGAAGCTGGACATGAGCCAGCAGTGTGCGCTTGCAGCCCAGAAGGCCAACTGTGTTCTGGGCTGCATTAAAGAAGGGGTGGCCAGGAGGAACAGGGAGGTGGTTGTCCCCCTCTACTCAGCTCTTGTGAGGCCCCATCTGCAGTACTGCGTCCAGGCCTGGGGCTCCCAGTACAGGAAGGACATGGAGCTCTTGAAGCGGGTCCAGAGGAGGGCACTAAGATGATCAGAGGGCTGGAGCACCTCTCCTATGAGGAAAGGTTGAGGGAACTGGGATTGTTTAGCTTGGAGAAGAGAAGGCTCCAGGGAGACCTCATTGTGATCTTCCAGTACTTGCAGGGAGCATAACCACAAGAAAGCACAAAAATCTACCTCTTGTATGGAGTGGTAATCCTTGATGAAATCCTACATAAAAGTTCTTACACAAAAGAAATACTGTTTTAAATGATATTCTAATTATCTAATTATTATTCAAATCCTACATACTCCTACTAGTATGATACATTTGCAGAACAGCACTTTTCATACTCATGAGGACATAACAGGTTAGAGCAGGTCTAAATGGAAGTTCACCAAGAGTCCACTACAGACTAGGATCGGTATGACTGTGGAGTAGCCTTGCTGAAAGAGACTAAGGGGTACCGGTGAGCAAGCTGAACGTGTCAGTAGTGCACTGCTGCAGCAATGAGGGGAGGTCAGACTCTGGGCTGTATCCACAGGAGTGTTACTAACACAGACGGAAATGCCATCTACCCAATCCAGTCAATGTTTGTCACGCTGTACGTGGCCTGGCCACATCCAGTTCTGGCCCCAACAATTCGAAAAAGATGCAGACAGATTGGAAAGGGTCCAAAGGAAGTCCCCAAAGATGATTAAAGGGCTGCAAAAGCTGCCGTGTCAGGAAAGGCTTGATATGTTAGGCCTTTTCACTCTAGAGAAGAGAATGCTATGAGAGGACCTCATCACAGTATCCTAGTGACCTAAAAGATAGCAGCTCCTTCTTCACAAGCAGCCACATGGAGAAAACACAGGGAGATGGGTACGAGTTGTTCTGCGAGAAGTTTTGACTTGGTTTAAGAATTACATTTTTTTTAAAATGAGATTCATCACTGGTACAACATCACCAAGGATATGGTACAATTCTCACCACTGGAGTTTTCTGCGATGCAACTCGACTGGATTATCTTATCTAGGCTTTCATTTCCCACAAAAAGTTGAGCCTGATGATCTTTCAAGGTCCTTTCTACCCTGGACTGTACTATCATTATATGAAGAGTTTGGCTAATGTATGCCATGTAATCTTGAATCTAGCAAATAATACGTGGAAATTTTTTTCAATGCAAAGGAAAAATCTGACAGCCATACAAAACTTTATAACAACACCTGTGAATGAAACAGTGAATGTGAAAACATATGAAAACATGCATCTCTGAAGGCAACAAGCCTGATTTAAGAAGAATTTTAAGCAGGAAGCATATTAGGCAGAGGTCTGCTGATATTTATCTATGCTGTATCACACAGAGTACTGTGTCAACACAATAGTTCTCCAGCAGTCACTACCTCAGATCCACTGTAGATAGCACAGTTTTTTTGTGTGCACTCTTCTATAACTGCTAAGGACTTCTAGCTCATATGCTACTGCAAGAGCACTGAAGGTATGTTATATGTATTCAGTGTGCTTTCTAGGTATTTACTTCTCAAAATGGTGTTACGTGAACATTATTTCACTCCCGATTACACAGACTGAAAAGATTTATATTTATGTTTATATTTCCTATTCCTTATCTTCCTAAGACACAAAACTAAGCACAGCATCACCCTCTGCACATAAATTTTTATGCACAGAAATCTTCCAGATTAACACAGTATGCCAGTCAGACCCCAATCTTGATGCAACAATATCAAGCTCATTACAAAGTAATTTACACTGTAATTTACAGGGTATACCATAAATACTGCCTAATACTCAGAAAATCAGCATTGCTCTTCCTAAGGCAGAGCTGCACACACACTGAAGAAGTGATTATGCGCCTAAGTACATTTCCAAGTTAGAAGTTTCAGTATCCAAAAAATCCACATCACCATGACACATTCCTCAACCAAAGCATTCCCAAAGGTACAGTCAAGAGGTTCTTTCAATTCCTTTTGCACAGTCAAAGTGTTTTCAGATTCACAGAATCTAGGTTAGAAAAGACCTGCAAGATCGTCAAGTATAACTGTTTTCGTACATTTAAAAAAGTTATTTGTATTGAGGGTTCTCTATTTATTTTCAAAAGAACCATAATGACCTAAACATGCTGGAGAAATGGGCTGACAAATGTGTTAGGATATTCAACAACTACTAAGTCACGTGCCTGGGAAGGGAGAGCACTTGCAATGGCACATGAGGGCTG